GGGAGCGCGGCTGGGCGGGAAAGCCCCGCCCCCGCACCGCCCTCGCGCCTCTCATTGGTGGAGCAGGTTTAGGCGGGAAAGGAAACTCTGCGCTAAGCACGGGGATTGGCTGGGGCGGAGGCAGGTGCTGTAGCCCCGCCCCTCTCTCGCGACACTTCGCCATTCTGAGGGGGCCTGAGGGGAGCCGGCGGCGGCGGGAGGGGGCGGCGGCCGTGGCCTCACGGATTCGGTGCCGCCGCTGCTCAGCGCCGCGGGGGGATGCCTGTCCCGTCCTGTTCCCGGCGGTGAGTGCTGGGGGGTATTGGCCAAGCTCCACTGGGCGATATTGGGAAGTATTTGGGACACTGGAGGGCGCTGTCAAGCACTGGAAGGCTCTGAGGCTACGCGGGGATGCACTTGGTACACCAGGGATCAGCGGGAGGCACTTTGAGCGCACTGGGGGTGACTGGGAGGCGCTCTGGGGTCATTGGGAGGCGCTCTGGGTGCACTGTGGGGCAGGGAAGGATGTCTGGGTCTACTGGGGGCAATCTTGCGTTCATCACTCAGCACCGAGGTCACTCGGAGGCCCCCTACTCATACCGGCACGTCCCACTGAGCTCTACTGCTGATTCTAACGAGGAGTCAGCGGTGAAGTGCTGCACCCCACCCTCTCCCCAGCCTTTCCATTCCCCTCCCCTGTCCCTCCTCTCCAGCCCCCTCAGTTTTGGGGTACCCCTGAGGTGTACACGGTGTCAGGGATGACGCAGGTGACAGCATCCTACAGGTGTCACAGGTGACAGGATCACCTACCTGGACACGGAGCGGGAGGGGACAACTGTCCCACAGGATGTAGGAGTGCCACGGCTCCACAGGTGAGTGATGGTGTGCCACAACCTCACGGCCATGGGGGTTGCCTCATGGCAGGGACAAAGGCACGCAGAGGACCCCAACACCCGAGTCCATCCATGCTGGGTGAGGGGGGCAGGGGGGACACTCCCATCTCCCCCCACGGCCCAACCCCTGATACCCCAATCCCTGCCGTGGGGCAACTGCGGGGCCCTTCCCCCTTTCCGTGAGTCAGCCGGGGGTTGTGCAGGGGGGGGAACAGGAAGCGCCAGAGCCACCACATTGCCCTTATAAGGACTCGACTGACGGCACCGGAGCTGCTTCCGCCTGCCCGGACTCCTGCTCCAGCCGCACATCTCCCCCACAACCCCACATCACCTTCCCACATCCCCATCGCTGCCCTACACCACCTTCTTCACCCCACATCAGCCCCGCCATCACCCCGGGCCCCAACCCAACCCCCAAAATTGCAACCCCGCCCCAAAACAAACCCGCCCAACAACCCCCCAAGCCCCAACCCCGCCCCAAAACAACCCCCCCAAAAACCGGGGCCCCGCCCCAAAACCCACCAAAAAAACCAAAAGAAGTCCCGCCCCCCAATTCTCCTTCTGTTCCCCCCAGCATGCCTGTTCCATCCCACCGTCCCCCCCTGCTGCTGCCTGGACTCCCAGCTGACCTCTCCCCGCCTCCCCCATGAGTGCAGCCCTCCAATAAAGCCTCTGCCCCCCAACTTTGTCTCCTGAGCCGGGGGGTGGGAGGGGGAGCGCCGTGGGGCGGCTGCCGAGGCGTCACCCCCGCCCCACCGTGGACTTTGTTCCCCTGGGGCACGGCAGCACCCTTGGACCCGGTATCCGGGGCAGCCTCCTCCGCCCTGGGTGGAGGACGGAGCCGCACCCCACGGCCCTGCCGCATGTCGAGGTTCCCCCCAAAGCACCCAGATCCCCGAAATCCCTGACCCACAGCGACTCCCCACAAGGGCACTTTATTGCTGCCGGCAGCGGGGATCAGGGGCAGACAAGGGGGTGGGGGACGGGGTCCTGCTGGTCCCTGGCGGCTCCTGCTGGTCCCTGGGGGTCCGGGGGTCCCCCCCAGCCCCCTCAGTACTGGCTGCGCCGCAGGTGATTGGCCATCTCATAACATTTCTTGTTGACGCAGCCGCCGTGGACGCCCTCCTTGCCCATGGCCAGCACGATGGCTGCAGGGGTAGGGGAAGAAGGTGTGGGGGTCATCTCCGAGCCTCCCAAAACCCCCACCAAGCCCCACAAACCCCAGACAGACACGGGGGCAGCGGGGCAGGAGCTGGGATGAAGGGACACCAGGAGTTAGCAAGGGGTAATTTGTGGGGACCTGGATCAAGGGGCAGGGGGGACACTTAACGGGAAGCAGGTCAGGGGCGATACAGGTGACAGGGCAGGTGACGTGGCCGTGTGGGGGAGAGGACACAGGGTGACACTGGGGAAGGTGGAGGGCGACACTGGGTGACACTGTGATGCCCTAAGATACATGGGAGGCACCTGTGGAGGCTTGGGGTCATATGTGGTGACAGGAACTGGTCAGCAGGTGCCACAGGGTGACAGGGAGGGGGGCAGGGGGTGCCACAGGGTGACAGGGGCAGTGCCACAGGGTGACAGGGAGGGGGGCAGGGGTTGCCACAGGGTGACAGGGGCAGTGCCACAGGGTGACAGGGTCTTCCCAGAGGGAGATTCCTCTTGTTGGCGATTTGGAAGGTGGGAGGTCACACGGGACGGGATGGCAGGGGGTGTGCTGGGAGGGCGATGGGGACAACACGGGCTGTGGGGTAGGGGTTGCAGGGGGTCCCTCACTCTTGTTGGTGATGGCAGCCGTGATGTTGAAGGTGGGCGCTCCGGCAGCCCCCTTGGTGCGCAGGTCCATGCTGTGCTCGCCCTCCACCAGCAGCGAGTCTCGGATGACGGAGCAGCGCAGCCCCCCCAGCGTCAGCCCCTGCACCAGCAGCGGCCCCCGCTCGGGGCCCACCAGTGCCGCCACCTCTGCTGGCTGTGGGTACAAGGGTCAGCCCATCAACAGACCCCAGACCCCCAAAGCCCACCCGTGAGAAGTGCGGCTGCCTGGGGATTGCAGGGGTAACTCCCCCTGCTCAAGGCCTGTCGCTTTTGCAGGCTGGACAGGGGTGGGGACAGGCCAAGGGGACCCCAAAGGCCCACACCCAGGGACCACCAAAACCAAATGCAGATGCCAAACCCCCAGGCAGGGCCCCTGTAGGGCACCCGGCAAACCGGGACTCTCATAACTCCCACTCCATGACCATAAAAGGGACCTAGGTGTCCCGGAACCCCCATGACTCCCGCCAGGGTCCCCACGGGAGAACCCTGAGCCCCGAGGGGTCCCCACAAGAGCACCCGAGAATCCAGGGATCCCCATGACCCCGCCTCAAACTCGGGACCCTCCAGGGCCAACGCTTCCACCAGCTGCCACGGGGGAGAACAGGTCAGGAACCCCAGGAAGGACTCCTCAAGCAAACCCCAAACCACATTTAGCCCAGAGCACCGCATGGGGACCTCACGCCCGGGGAGCCCAAGGAACCCCATCGCAGCCCCTCGGGGGACCCCCATAACTTCTCCGTGCCCCCAGACAGGGACCAGGGCTCCGGCAGGACCCCTTTCCCACCACGGGCTTCCCCAAACTTCCCCCCTCCCCACCATTTCCGTGGGGGGAAGTGGGGAGGGGGGAGGGGGTGCGCGCGCGCCGCCCCTCCCCCACAGGAAGCCCCGGCCGCCCCTCCTCCACCGGGAAGTGGCCGCATTCCGCGCATTTTTAGAGGGTTTTTAAGTGGGGAGGGGTTCCTCCGCTCCCCCACCCCCGAGACCCCCGCCATCCACTGAGGGGAGTGCAATAAAAGCGATGCGCAGCCGGGACGGAGCTCGCCGAAACACGTGGTGCTCGCCCTTCCCCCCCTTCCCCGCCCGCCCGCGACCCCCCAAAACGCTCGAAGCGGGGTTAAGGAGGGGACTGCCCCGCCGCCGGGCCCCCCCCGCCTCCGGGCCCCCCCAGCACCGGCCCTCCCCCGGCACCGGGTCTGGGGCACGGGCAGCGCCCGCGCCCCCCCGCCGCGCTCCACGCTGGCGCTTTTGCGTTTTTCTCCCTTTTTTGTCCTTCCCGGAGCCCGTCGCGGGAGGGTGGGGGGGCGGCCCCGCCTCTCAGAGGCCGCCGGGTCCCCCCGCCCTCCGCGCGCTTGGGCGGGAAACGCCTCGGCGCGCTGCCCCCCCCCAGCCCCGCCAGCCCCGGCCTCTCACCGTGATATTGGCGAAGGTCTTGCCGGGGGCGGCGGCCCAGACGGCGGGGGTGTCGCGATAGCCGACGATCGCGGCATCCTGGCAGGTGCCGTCCGCCAGCAGCGTCTCCACGTAGGGCGCCCACCCGCTCATGGCGGCGGCGGGCGGGCGGGCGGGGCGCGGGGGCGCGGCCTTCCGCGGGGGGCGGGGCTTCGCCGGGGAGGGGGCGGGCTTTTCGTGCGGCGCCTGCGCGGTGCGACCGAGGCGCGGCGGCGGCGGAGGAGCGGCGGCGGCGCCGCGCGGCGGTTTTCATAGGGGACGGCCGGGGGCGGGGCCGGGGGCGCGGCCGGGGCGGGGCCGGGGCGGGGCCGGGGCGGGGCCGCGGCCGCCGGCGCGCCCGGCCCCGGGAGGGCGCGCGGCGGTTTTGGGGGGAAGGGGGCGTTTGTTATGGCGACCCTTCCCTCGTTATCCGGACACCCTCCTCCCACTGCGCTGTTCCAGCCCCGCCGTTACTGCGATGGCCGCGCTCCCGTTTACTGGGAACCCTTCCCTTACTTGCCCCCCTCAATCCAAACCCTTCGTACTCTGCGTCCCGCGATTATCACGACGCATCCAAATTCAAACACTCCCTCCGTGTAGCGACGCTCGCTTCCATTATTCGGACCCTCCCCATCACCTCAACCCCTACTCTTTGTTGTGCCCCCTCTTCCCCGTTATCCCGACTCCCCCCCGCTATCGCGACACCCTCACGGGTATCGTGACACCCCTGGACTGATAACGAATCCCTCGTTATTGCTCCTTCTCGCTGTGTATTGTGATTCCCGGTTCTCCTGATACACGCCGTTATCGCGACACCCCGCCCCGCGCTGGGCCCGCGGTGCGCCCCGAGCGGGGGTGGCTGGGGGGGTGACAGCTCGGTGGGTGTCGGGGGTGCAGGACCCTCGCCCTCCCCACCGCGGGTCGCGGTTTGACTCAGGCGGGACTTTCCGGGGGGAGGGGGGAAGGGCAGCGGTTTCACTTCCTGCCCCGGGGTGGGGGAGGGGCTCGGCGGTTGAGAACGGGGAAGGGGAGGGCCGAGGCGTTCGGCACCATCTCCCCCCTCGGGGCGCCGAGGGTGCCGGGACCCCCAGACTGGGTTGGGGGTGGGGGGGGTCGAGGCCTCCTGAGGGTGCCCGTTCACCCACCCCCCCCATAAAAGGACCGGCCCCGTCCCCCCCCCCGGCGAGAACTTCCCCGGGAAGTGGTCAAAGCCACCGCCCCTCCCCCACGCTGTGGGGCCCATGGGGCTGAGTTCCCCCCTCCCCCACCCCGGTACTCCTTAGGGGCTGAACTCCCCCCACAAAGGACCCTCTGCACCCCCAAAATCGTGTCCCCCCCTTCCCCGTTCGCCCCCTCCCCTTGTGGCTGCTGCTGTTCCCCCCAGGGCCTTCAGGCGGCGCTCCAGCCCCCCCGCTTGGGGGTCGTGTTATAGTGACCCTTGAGGGGGGCTAACAATGGTCCCAAACCCGGGGGGGACGCTTAGGGACCATCGCCAAGTGCCACCAGCCCCGGGCTGCTGTGGCCCCACCCCGGTGACCCCAGGAGGGGCTGACTGTGACCACGGTCCCTCCAGGAAGGAGGGGCGAAGGGGAAGGAATAAATAATCCCGGGGGGAGGGGGCAGGGCAGGGCCCTGGGCAGGGGCAGCACTGGGTGAGAAAGGCCCGGACCCACCTGGGCCCCTCTGAGTGTCCTGGGTATTGGGGAGGGGGGTCTGGGCTCACTCAGGGTCCCCCATGGGATGGGGGGGACACAGGGCCAGCTCCCGGCACCTGGACTTGGGGGTTCTCCCCATGGGAGCTCTGCGGAGTCCGGGGTCAGGCTGGGACCCCCAGGATCTTGGCCTTGACCCTTAGGTCTCCTATCCCACAGCCACGTCCATCCCGAAGAGATCACAGCCCAGGAGATCCTGGATTCCCATGGGAATCTGACACTGGAGGTGGATTTGTTTACAGCCAGGGGCTTGGAGGGGGATGCTGGGGTGGGAGGCGGTGTCACAGGGGTGTGCAGGGACTTGGAGGAAGCTCAGGGTTGTGGTGAAACGTATCAGGAGTGCCGGGGACATGGAGGGTCCCAGGGCAGGCAGTGACGGTCCCCAGGATGGGGTTGGGTTCTGGGGTCACATCGTGAATTTCTGGTAATTGGAGAAAAGTTATGGGGCAGTGGGGGAAGGGTAGGAAAGGGCAGAAGGTGGAGGGGGCACCCAAACATCAGGGTCCATCTGCCCATGGTGGGAGAGCAATTTGGAGGGGGTGGTCTTGGGGCCTGGATGCCCAGGTCCCCTTGGCCAAGGGTCAGCGCTGAGCGTGTTCGTGTATGGGGGTCTCTGGAGGAATTTGGGGGATCAGGAGGGATTTGGGGCCTGGACACCCCAGGTCTGTCTCAGCCGGGGTGGGGGTTCAGGGAGATTTGGGGATTCTGGGGGGATTTAGGCCCAACTC